CATTGCCTTGGGCAGCCATAGGCAGGCCCGCGTTGGGTGGTAAGGGTTAGGAGTTCAGGAGTTCTCTGGACGGTGTCTCTCTGCCACCCCTGGCAATGTGCTGCCCCAAACACGTGCTTGGTTTGCTGGTGCCTAGAGATGGCCCTGGAAGGGATGGCTTTTTTAACAAAGAGGAAGCTGAGCTTTTGCATTTATCTAAATCTACATCACATGGGCCAGATTAGTATGTAGTGTAAACACAAGCAGCTCCACTGAAGAGCTTCTAGTTGCACTATCTGATACCACGTATAAATTTGACCTAAACCACTGGTCAGTGATAATCATTGATGGTCTCCATAAGTTCCAGTGCTCATTTTAAAATGAGAAAACAACTTGATGCATTAAGCCCCCGGTGATTGTATTCCTCTGTCTTGCAAAGGAATGGATTAGCTGACCAGCTCCTAGAAGCTACTAGAGACTATAGAAAGACTGAAATAAAGTACAATATTTTTACTATAGAAAGACCTCATGGATTCCAAATACGCAATACTGTGTTGGACAATGAGAAGCAAATAACTTTAGGACTCATGTTAAACAAGAAACTAACAGCACCCTTAGTCTGAAGTAATTTCTAATACTTAATTCCAAGACATACTTTAATGTCTAATTAAAAAGAAATGGAACGAAATGTGGAGAGTATTTCCTAGATTTCTAGTTTAGGGAACTCTCTCTCCCCTTCCATTTCTCCCCCACACATTTTCCTTTTTCCTGCCTCTGGATACAGTTTCCTTAATTCTAGGATGCAGCATGGCTGTCATGTGTGTGGCTGGATTGTTTTTTATCCCAGTCATTGGTCTCACAGGTTTCCATATTGTTCTAGTGGCACGAGGGCGCACAACCAATGAGCAGGTAAGAGAACAATTCTGCCTCCATGTTCCTGTTAGAGATGTAGGAGTTGAGAAGGCTCTCGCTACTAGGAGAGGATAAAGAGAAGATACAATATTTAAAGATGGGCAGATCAGATTGACCTGCTGCTTTATCCAGATAAATTCATGCTTTACAGAGGGCTTAAAAACATTGGAGATATGTAAGAGCAGGTTAGATAAACATCTGTCCAGGATGCTTTAGATCAGAGGTGGGCAAGATATGGCCTGGGGGCTGGATCCAGCTTGCCAAACCTTTCAGTCTGGCCTGTGGCCCACCCTACAGACTCACACGCAGTGAGCAGCCCCAGGGCTCAGAATGGCTGGATGCTCTATTTGCCTCTCTTCAAATGTAGAGAGAAGCTGTGTGTTCTGTGAACCCCTTTTTTCACCTAAACTCCCTCTCAGTCCCCACACTTTCTTCTAAACCCCAGTTCTCTACCCCAGCTCTCTTCTGCACTCAACCTCGGTCCCAGACCCTGCACCCCCTCTATAGAAAAGTGCAGCCCTTGGCCACTGACCAAACTCTTGGAGTGCCCCCCATCAAAAATGATTGCCTGCCTCTGATCTAAGATGGTGCTTGGTCTGCTGTGAGGGCGGGGGACTGGACTTGATGACTTCTCGAGGTCCCTTCCAGTTCTAGTGTTCTATGATTGTATGGTTCTGCTTGACTGATGTTTGGGCAAGCTCCCAGGAACAGTACTGGACTGTGTACCAGGCAGGTCTCCAAAATGATGTTTAAGTGGTGCATGGAGTATTGCCAACCTCCAAAGCTCCAAATTCATGAATCAGGCTTAAAAGAATTGCTACATATTAAAAAAAAAAAGTCTAAATCGTGCTTTGTTCTGTCTCCTTATTTTTTTATTCTATCAGTGGCCCCTGCCTTCCCATAATGTATGCAGCTCTGCACTAACTCATTGCCACATATACACTCATACGAGTTAATTTTGCTTCTCCAAGACCTGTGCTTGCCAATATCTTGCAACAAAATATTTAGGAGAACTTGCATTTCTACAAAATTCAAATGTGTAAAATGGGCTGCCAGATAATGCAGGGAATCCATCAGCATTGTCTCAAAATGCTAGTTAATTAACATTGTGTTTCCCCTGCCACACTTTGGCATCCCTAATAGTTAGCTTTGTGCTCAGCTAACATTGGCTCCAACCCTCAGATCCACATCATTTATGTGCCCATACATCTGCCCTTTCTCCCCCAACACATCTGTTCTCCTCCTGCTGCCACGGAAAGTCTTTAGTCATGCCCTTCCAGGGTGTAGACAAAGAGGCAGCTCCAGAAGGGACCTCTATTTGATATAGATCCTAGTACTGCCCTCTTCACCATAGTGCCTTACTATCTTCCAAGAACATATTAAGTGATGTAACTAATGTTTGGCATGTGTTTTGTCCACTCTCTCATCTTCTTACCAAATGGAGAATTGCAGTAGAGTGTTTTGTTTTGATAGAGCTTTGTTTGGGAGATTCTCTTTAAATGTAATGATGCTCTGTGTATTAGAGCAGTGGTTCCCAATCTTTTTAGTGCTGCGGACCCACAAACCCATTCACAAACATTTGGTGGGCTGGCAAATAAAATGTTAATGGTATACCTAGCCTCTGGAACAAAGTATATGTCCAGCACCCTTGGCTAGACCGGTACTTTGTTCCAGAGGTGGTTGTGTGATCTATGGACCCTCTTGGTGGTAGTGGCATGGTCACCTGTGGTGAAAACTAGGGAGAGATCTGTGTCAGCTTCATGCTGCTGGCACCTGAATCCATGTCATTGGACCAGCTCACCCAATAGCTGCATGTAACAATGAATATAGAGAGAATTGATCCTTATGAGCTCAAGCTGTAGAGGCTCTTATACTAAGCTTCAGAGGTCCCACTCTTCTGGGTGGCACTCCTTTGCTTTTTCTGCTTCCTCCTTCCTTCTTGTGAAAATGGTCTGGCTGTTTTTTTCATACCCTCTCACACCTCTTACCTGAACCCTCATGTCATTTCTGAGGAGAGAGGGAAATGCTCTGCTTATCTCCTGTTGGGATTGGCTGTCCTTCCCCCATGTGACTGCAGAGGGGACTTTCTCTATGGCAGCATGAAAATTGCATGAGGCCCAGAGCTACATGCCTCACAGCAAGTCTGTCTGCAGGGGCTCACATTAAATTACAAGACTTGGTAGTTCTGTGCATAGGCCTCATGCCTATCATCTAGGACAGAAAGAACAAATACTAGAAAATTCTAGTCTCTTTGTATTTCTAGCTAGTCTGAAACTGAAAAGTGTTGGAAATTGTTGAAATTAAGATTCACAGCAGTTCCAGGACAGTGAGGTTCAGATAGGCTTTAGATAATGAATCCAAACTTAGTACACTGACCTGAACTGCCAAATCTCTTGAAGTTTACCTATCTGCAATGAAGTTTCTATCTCTCTGTGCCATTTGCCCATGATCAAATGTAGCTTTCATTGAACAACTCATCTTCTCTGTCATGTAGACTATGCAACCCTGATTGGAGGATGGACTCCATGATCCATCTGCTCTCTTCCAGAGGAAGCTCATTCTAGTAATTAAAGCACAGGCCCAGGAATGAGATAATATGGATTTAGCTCCTAGTTTTGGCACTGACTTGTTAATCCATTCACATTTCTCCAGCAGCCTTAGTATTGATTCTGTTTCCTCACTATCTGAAATTATGAACAAGCAAAATGTACTCAGCTACATTTATCCCCTTTTTCTTCTGTTACTTTTATACCCTGATGGTGCACATTTCTGGTGTTTTGCTAGAAATCCTTGGATATGGATTTAGCTCCTAGTTTTGGCACTGACTTGTTAATCCATTCACATTTCTCCAGCAGCCTTAGTATTGATTCTGTTTCCTCACTATCTGAAATTATGAACAAGCAAAATGTACTCAGCTACATTTATCCCCTTTTTCTTCTGTTACTTTTATACCCTGATGGTGCACATTTCTGGTGTTTTGCTAGAAATCCTTGGTTAGTGCACCCATGCCAGATTTCACTGTTTCTTATTACTCCTGCTGAAGAGAGCATTATTTCAGGGGCTGTAATATTTCAGTTTATATTTTTCATGAGCTTTTTGAATGACTCAGGAAGTCATTTGTCAATATAAGATGTCATCTTATCCATGTATTTTTACGTCTTGAATAGAGTGAACCCTTCTCTTCCACAGTACCTTCCACGTGAGGATCTCAAAGTCCCTTTGTACAAAATTCATGTATTTGATGGTGTAGTACAGGAGTGGGCAAGAGAAACTCCGCTGGCCAGATCCAGCCTGCGGATGCCCTGCTGCTCCCCTGCTCCTATGCCAATCACAGACTGAGGGTGAGGAGAGTGCACAAAGTCTCCTTCCCTGCCAGGGGCACACGATACTTACATCGAACCTTTAGCAGCTCACTCTAAGTGCTATGCATCTATGGTTGCCAGATATTTTCACAAACCAACATTGTGGGGGACAGTTTTCCCAACATTGCAGGGAAAAAAATTGATTGAGCCAAAAAAAAAGAAAAAGTCGCTGCGCCTTTAAATTCCTCTCTGCTACCCATACCCCCACTAGATGCGGCAGGGGAAGAATGTCCCCACCAGGCTTCCTTCTAGTACTTACATGTCTGGTATTTTCTGGGTTGTTTTTTTTTTACTGGACAGAAGATTCAATTACTGGACTGTCTGGGCAAAAACCGGACACCTGGCAACCCTACATGCACCCTTTGCAGGATGGGGGCAAGGAGCGAGAGACTTCACATGCTCTCCTGCCCCCAGACCCCGATTGACCTGAGAGTGGGAGGAGTGCACAAAGTCTCCACCTGCCATCTGGGGCACAGGCGCTTGGAGGGAATTGCCAACTGTTCAGAACAGCTGGTGGTTCTTGTTGGGGGGGGGAGGGTAGAGAAGGACCGCAATAACAAAGACTTCATGTGGTCTCCTAACCCAGGCCAATCAGCGTCTGTTGGCAGGGGATCACGGAATTATCCTGGCTCTACCCCTTCTACCCGAGGTCCTGTGGGGCCAGGGGCCACTTCAAAAATTTGTGAAGTGGCCCCCCTTCTAAAATTATTACCCACCCCTCTACTAGAGTATGTCTTGCCAGGGCAGACAAAGGAGAAGGAGGCCAGATCAGGCAGCCAGGCTGAGGGCAGACAGGACTCTGGAATAGAAAGAATATGGGGAGATGTGTATTGCAGACAGGGAGCCTCAGATTCTCTGGACTTTTGGACAAGGGCCTTTAGCCAGCATGCAGATGTTCACACAATGGGGAGACATGGGCTTAAGAAGTTTATTGTTAAGGTTTCTTATGCTATTGGGGCTGGTAGAGGGAGGACGCTGCGCTAACAAGAAAGAGTAACTTCCAATTAAGGAAAGAGTAGAATGCCAGATATGCAGAAGAGAGAGGACAGGAATACTCATTCTTGAGATTGTAAGTGTTAACTGGTGCCTCTTACCTATTTTAGAGCATTGAGCACTGCACTGAATATTTTTCCAGGTGACGGGTAAGTTCCGTGGGGGTGTGAATCCTTTCACTCAAGGATGTTGTGGTAACGTGGAACATGTGCTCTGCAGCCCTCTGGCTCCCAGGTAAGAAAGAATGTTATTCTTAAACTTGGGTCACAAGGTGAACAAAACAATGTTCTGAGTTACCCTAGAGATCATCCGCACACATCTGCATTAGTAGTATCTTCTGAGGAGAGGTATGGTATGTCAAGACAGTATTTCATTGGCAGAGCTCTGAGGAAGCACGGTTCTGCCTCATCTTGTCATTGTCACTTAACATAATTCACAATCTTCACTCTCAAAACAAGTCTTTGTGGCTGGCAGGACATATTGACAGCTTTTTATATTTACTGAGTCATTTTATAATATAACTAATCTTTTTTGGGGAAAAACTGTAGTTAGGTATGAAAACTTATTCCTGCTTAATGCTTCTCTGTAACATTGCTTCATTATGTTGCTTATCCAGTGAAATTCAATAACTGGACAGATCTGTGTCAGCTGTAATCTTCCTAACACAACCTATTTTCTATGCAGTATGCTGCTTTCCAAAGTACACATTAAAGATTCTAGTCACTGCAGAAAAGTAATGAAGTATCTAAAACCAGCCTTTTGCCCCTTAGCTTTATAATTAATTCAAGGCAGCTGTGGCTTTCAGTCTCACAACTTCTTTCGTCATCATCAAACAAATATGATTTTCCATGTGGTGTTACGGTTTGCCATTTTGGATTTTATTTATGGTTCCTTACTTTTCAGCAGATTTATTTGTCTTGGTGTCCTTTGAAACAATGGCCATGAACATTAATGTTGCTGTGTGACAGAAAAGATTGAACATAGACGTCCAAGCTGTCCAGCACATAGACTTGTCCTTTTAATTGTAGTATGAGTGGGCTGAATATACACACTGGCTACGTCTACATTGGCATGATCTTGTGCAAAAACTCTTCCAGAAGACAGCGTCTACACTGGCATGTGCTTTTGTAGAGATGTGCTTTTGCACAAGAGCATCCATGCCAGTGTAGATGCTCTCTTGCACAAGAAAGCTCTGATGGCCATTTTAACCATAGGGCTTTCTTGTGCAAGTAATTCATGTTGCCTGTCTACACTGGCCTCTTGCACAAGAACAGTTGCACAAGAGGGCTTATTCCTGAGTGGGAGCATCAGAGTTCTTGTGCAAGAAGCACTGATTTCATACATTAGAATGTCAGTGTTCTTGCACAAGAACTTGAGGTCAGTGTCGACAGGCAGCAAGTTTTGCGCAAAAGCACCTGCTTTTGCGCAAGATTGCACCATTGTAGACACAGCCACTATTATCTCTGCTATATGCAATTTCTTGATTGCACAGCAAACTAAGCTTAGCAGACTACTCCTAGCATTAAAGTGGTAGATTTCCTGAACTGCCCAAAATTATGAGCACTTGAATGAGGTCAAGTGATGTTAGGAGAGCAGGATGTTAAAACCTATTAGGTGCCTAAACCAGAGAACTATTTTTCCTTTGCAGTCTCTTTGGTCTGATAAAGTATGGGATAATATCTTAACTTTTAAAATGCCATGGCTATACTCAGACAGACTTAGAAAATACAGTCCTAGTGTTTTCTCAAGGCCTATTCACATTGTCACATATCTTCTCCCCCATGAAAATGTGAGAATAACCAAGTAAACCATCACTGCTGTGATGTCTCACCCATGATCCAAATTAGAAGAAACTAGTGCAGATATTTTGATCTCATGTCACTGGGTATCATATGTTCGTGCTATCTCCTTTAACTTTTTCAAATTGTTTTGCATCCATTTATCAATCCCTCAGCAGTGAAAATGTCTATCACTTTTCAACCAGCTCCTAGGAATGTTCCTTTCACACTCAAATGTGGGGTTCTCTTGGGGAGAAGTGTAATGTGGAGAGTTACACTTGTACAAAATAATTTCTGTGTTCCAGTGTTATCATCTTTAGAAAAGGTCTGACTTTCCCATTTCTGCTGATATAACTAAACACTTCTAGGTGTTTATAAATCAAGTCATCTGCCAATACACACTTGGCATGCAATTCTGTTGAAATCCTTGGGAAATGCTTTTACTAGTTGTGTAGCTGTGTCTTCCCCTCTTTTGCCTCCTCCCCTGAATTGCAGTGGAATCCAATGTTTCAAAATTGCAGGGGATTTTTTTGTTGGTGGCATCTACTATTCAACTACTGATTCACTTTGATTTTTGTATCTTCTGGACAAGACATCCATGGAGATAAATGTCCTTTACTTGTATTGATTTTGCCAGATCTCTTAAATCATACACTGAACACATGGGGGTTTTCTTGTCTGCATGCCTCTGAGTTTTTTTTAAATAATTATTATTGAATAATCAATCAGGTACATTGTTGAGCCACAGCAACAGCAGGTGGTGAGTGTGAAGCCTCCTTTCTTCAGACCAGATCTATCTGAGCGACAGATCACAGTGAAAATAAGTGACAATGGAATCCAAGCTAATCTTAACCGAAGCAAGGTAAAGCAGCCTTCAGTACCCTCTGTCTCTGAGTAGGACTTGAAAACCAGTAGTAGGCTGAAAATAACTTTTGTTATTGGGAGATTCTTAGAGATAATACGTGTCTGGAGGAATGTGAAAGAAGTCAAGTCTTCTTCCCTGCATTTTGAAAGTAAATGAGGAATAATAGTTCCAAGAGCTTTTGGCTGTTTGAAGATCCTTCATTTAGTACTCTAATTGGAAAGCAAGAGGAGAGTGAGCATTGTTCTTTATGGCAGTTAGTTAAGAATTGGCACAGGTCTTTTCACTTTTTGGCTCTTATTATTATTATTATTATTATTATTATTATTATTATTATTAATTAATACACCACTTTGTTCTGATGGCAGGAGTCCAAGTACCACTGAGTGACTTGGCTTACTGGAGGAAAGCACTGAGGCTTAGCCCTACAGCAAACATTGTTGTCCAGAATGTGCAGTATAGGACTAGCACCCAGGAGGACTGGGTTTTATTCCTAGCTCTGCAAGTGTGACTTTGGCAGATCATTCTGTGTCTTGGTGTCTGACTCTCTATTTATAAGTTTCAGAGGGGTAGCTGTGTTAGTCTGTACCTGAAAAAATGTAAAAAACAACGAATAGTCCTGCAGCATCTTACAATATTTATTTGTAACCTGGACCCCTTAATTCCATTCATCTGAAGAAGTGGGTTGTATCCACAAAAGCTCATGATACCATCTACATATTTTGTTAGTCTCTAAGGTGCTGTAGGACTATTAGTCGTTTTTAAAATGTTATTTATTTATATATAATGATGCTTATATCTTAGCAAAGTGCTGCAAGATTTATGGTGCTAAGTGTTATAGTCATTAGAAATAATCTCTCAAACTTTGTGTACTGAACTCCTGGAATGGCTTCATTTGCTGAGGATTTCTCTGCATATGGAACTGAGGGTTTCTCTGCATATGGGACTACTGACAATGATATACATGTGTTAATGGTCATGTGAGAATGATTGATCACTCTGTGTGGATAAGGACTGTTAGGTTTAAAATCATATCAGTTGATTGCACTTAAATTAGCTTTTAGAGGTAACAGGCCTGTGTACATAGGCTACATCTACACTGGCATGATTTTCCATTAAAAGCATTTTCGGAAAAGCACGTCTAGATTGGCAGGATGCTTTTCCGCAAAAGCACTTTTTGTGGAAAAGTGTCCGTGGCCAATCTAGACACGGTTTTCTGCAAAAAAGCCCTGATCGCCATTTTCTTTCGGAAAAAGACTTTTGCCCAAACAGGAGCAGCATAGTATTTCCGGAAAATCACTGACGATCTTACCTGAGATCGTCAGTGCTTTTCCGGAAATTCAAGTGGCCAGTGTAGACAGCTGGCAAGTTTTTCTGCAAAATCACATGATTTTGTGGAAAAACTTGCCAGTCTAGACACAGCCATAGAGTATTAGATGGTGTTTATTCCCATGTTCATTAACACACAATATACTACTATAATATTTTCCAGTGTTGACAAGTCTTTAGACTCTGTAATACTTTAGTATATATTGTTGTCTAAACCATTTGAGGGGAATGATTGATTCCATGGTTATTTTCAGTCTAAAGTTAGCCTGGAAGATCTGGAGGATAAAACCATGGACATCCAGCCACCTTTGCCTCCCAAAGGAGACCCAAGCAAGTACTCTGAACTAAAGGGGCCGCTGGGAACCAATGAAGGTATCAATACTTGATAAATACCTGATTAATACTTTTTTTTTATGCTATAAAATTTTAGTGTAAATGGGCTTTCATTGTTCTTACAGAACCTTAATGGAAGGTTGATTTCTTTATTCTTTGGGGAAACTCTTAATTCTCACTTTGAGAGAGGATTTGATATATGTATATGTCAAGGCTGTTCCCCACTCTGGCACTCTGAGTATAGAAGGTGGAGGCTCACAAGAGATCTTAAATAATGTATCTCTATAGGCTTCTGCTTTAAAAAATGCCCAAGGTTATAGATTCCCTAGGTAGCTGCCAGCATCAACTGTAAAAAAAACCAACACAAAACCAACCCAACCCTTCATCTTAAATCTAGGAAGAAGCACTTGAACTTCTTCCAAAGGGCTACGCCCTAGCTCCTTTACCACAAAAGAGCTTGAAGAAAAAACGAAAGAAGCACTTGAACTTCTTCCAAAGGGCTACGCCCTAGCTCCTTTACCACAAAAGAGCTTGAAGAAAAAACGAAAAAACAAACTGCAGTCTCTGATAGCTGACCTCTCTGTCTAAACAGGCATACCAAGACCTTCTGTTACCTTCCCGGACATAAGAATCAAATTATCACCTTAAAAAAGGTGATTTTATTAACAAAGAGATATACTTGATAAAACATACTTGGTTGCTAGGTGTTACAGAGTAACTGAGAAAATAACAGATTAAAAAACAGAGAAAAATTATATCTCCGGGTGCAGCTTAATATAGTGAAGGAGGGGCACGTGGACTTAGCACAGAGAAGTTTAACCTAACAACAAAACAAAAAAAAACCTGATCATGACTAAATACACGTTTTTCCTATTTACTCACACTCCATACCTCAAGGTCCACTCTATTTCTATGTCCAGTATTCCTTGTAGGCATAGTAGTTCTGCCATGTTCACTTCATCCTGCTTCCCCCAGCTCCCAGCTTTAAAACTCTCACAAAGAAAACTGCAGGCAGGCATATCTTGCAATTTAAATTTCAACACCTTTTCCCTTTGTCTCTCCTGGCACCTGACCAACACCCCCTAGTTACCTTAGTTTAACCATATAGGCTGTGTCCAGACTCCATGCCTCCGTCGACGGAGGCATGTAGATTAGCCAG